GCTGATTTGTTACTGGAAGAACACAGCATGAAGCATGCACACCTCAAACCAGTGTCGTTTGCTGCAGAAGATGGCCTGTGTGACTGGACTTAGGTCAGTGAAGAGCAGGTGAAGCACGCAGTGCTAACATCCACAACTCAGCGATACAGAATTCTGTTAAGCCTGCATCTGGGGAGATACAGCTGCTACCAAGACTCCTGCACTACTTTTGGCCTTGAAACAGCTTCATGAAAAATAAAACTCCCTCTGCTCCTATCAGGACACTAATCATATTAACCTTTGAAAATCATTAAACTATATGGAAATCCTTGCTCTCTGGAACACTTTTAATGTCACAAAAGGGAATTTCTATATTGCTTAATGATTAAAAATGTTGAAGATCAAAGAAGCTTTGATACCTACTCCACAATTCAGTGTGCAATTTATGTCAAGGTTACAAATCTGCATATTGCATGGTACCTAACAATTTTCAGCACTGTGGAACCAGAATAATTTTCCTGTGTATGTGGTTGTGCAGGAACAGCTAAAAATATTCAAATGAGAATGCATGATAGATGGTGTAACAAAAGATACCTACAAGAAAGGAGTGCAAAATGAGTGCTGGATAAAAACTTTGTTAAGTACACAGTGCAGCAACAGACACTGTATCTCAGCACAATTAAGAAAACACCACTCCATCCTAACTTTGTGTTACAGAAACATACTTCACTGCCCAAATAACAAGCACAACAGATCATTTGCAGGACTGCAATAGGATTTATTTATCTAATACTCCAATGTGACATGCAAAGCACTGCAATGTCATGACTTCACTTGACTACAAGTACTGTAAAATGGTTTCAGCAAGAGCTCCTAACCTCAAAATGCAAGAAGTATGGAACTGACATTTATTATCATACAACAAAATAATATGCGACCCACATTATACTATCTTACTGCATGACAAGTTAGCACAAATCAATTTTATTTCTTGTACAGACTTTAAAGTTGTAGCCTGAAGTTTTTAGTATTTTTAAAACGGAGGCCTGACTAAAATTCTTTGTCCTAATGGCCAAAATACTTCACATTTCCACGAAGACGAGACTAAATTTTAGTTACAACTTTCCTCACGGACCTCAGCTTACAGGGATAAGGAATCAAAATAGCCCCCCAGTCACAACTCAGGCACCACTCCTTCAAAGCATCAAAGCAACGATACGAGCAAAGTGGTGTAAAGCAGATGTGAAGCCTGAAGCAATTTAACAGATTGAATGCTTGCTTGGAAAATATAATCCAAGGTGGTTTACCTGCAATAACTCCTCTGCCAAATTTTTCCCCTTTATCCAGCAAATCTTGCACTTGTTCTGGTGTCATTCCAAACCTATTCAACAGAATTGCTCGCCATGTTTCATCTTCCCAGTCCTTAACAGCTATATGAATAGCAATGGTGCAGTTCTTGTAGTCTGCTAGCAAAGGACGCCAGCGGGTCTCTACTGTTTTGACCTTGTTTAAAACTAATCCCGCATAGGGCTGTCGGAAGGAAAGGCAACCAAATTTCATCGTTCTTCTTGCATCAGAACCCGTTTATTTCCTGTGAGCAAACAGACACCCTGAGGTTAAGTCTCCACAAACGTGTCTGCCACCACAACAAACTAACAGAGCTGCTCGAGCAACAGCCCCGAAGGCCGGGACGCCGCGCTACAGCCAGCTGCCCGCTGCCTGCCC